AAGAAACAAGGTCAATTTCTGGGGCTAGTAGGTATTCAAAGCTGCCTCCATCTGCCCAATAAAAGTCCAAAAGGGCAGCTCAGGTCTTAGACCATGAAGGTGTGTCTAGTTGTGCTCAGACTGAGCTTCGAGGTGATGAGGGGAAATGGAGTTCAGAATCTGTGTTCTCTCTTTTCTGTGGAGTGGAGGATAGGCAAACCCAGGAATGTTCCCACACCAAGATAGAGAGGAGTCCAAGTTAGGGTTGTTGTGTCTGATTTCCCAAGGAAACCTCTGAATGGCTCTGAGGTAGAGTTCTCTCTCTTCTGAACTCAATGCATTTTTATAACACAAGAAAAGGGAAGTTTGGGTATGCCAGCTGCAGATTTTCAATTCCTCTCTGAGAAAAAATTAACATTGTTCCCAAGAACAGGAAGAGATTTGGGGTGAAAGAGAATGCACTGAAATTGTAACAAGGTTATCAATTATGTTACTCAACCACCAGACAGAGACATGTCTCATGCCTAGAAAGTGTCTTGGTCTTCTGCAGAGATGACTCAGAATTAATGGGACTCTGGTTTCCTCAGCTCTAAGTGTGTGCAATTTCTAAGTGACTGCTTTGCAATAAGATTCAGCTGCTCAGGTTGAGATTCCAAGAGGATGAAATTGCTTTCCAGATGTTGCTAGAGCTGGAGAACCCAGATCTCTGTAGCCAGCCCTATAGATGCTATCCTCAGAATTCCATCTCTACCCCCTTCCCACTCCCCAACACACACACACACACACACCCAGGACCAACAAGGCCAGGCAAGGTACCTTCCTTCCTTTCCCAAGCCAAAGATGTGTTTCACCTAGCCTAGCTGCAGACACAGAGGTAAAGTGTTCTTTTTTGTAAATTAATTTTGGGGATGTGATTATAAAAGTAATGCACTGTCATTATGAAAATTAATAAGATGTTCATATCTGATTTTGAGCACTTGGTGTGTCAGGTGCTGTGCTCAGGAATTCACTCTAATTACTTCACTTACTCCTAACAACCCACTGAAGCAGGTATTAAAATATTACTTCCAATTTACACATGAAGAAACTGAGACTCAGAATGGTTGAATAACTTGTTCAAAGTCACCAGTGGCAGAACTAGGGAACAAAAGCCTGTTTGAGTTTAATCCCTACACTGCATTGTTAAAATGCAAGAGGGAATGCGTGAAGTCCTGCAAAGGAGGGCAAACGAAGTGCTGTGTGGGCTAGATGAGGCCCAGGGTGCAATGTGTGAGGATGCAGCATAGGCAGCAAAGAGCATCACTGGTAAAAAACTATCCAGAATGGCAGCACCCCAACGGCAGCCCTGTCTTCGTTAACATCATGAACACCCAAGCTGACTGATTACCCAGCATGAGCCTCTACTCCTATTTCTCCCTCACTTTCCCAGATCCAAAATCCCCAAGTCCTCTTAGTTACAGCACCAACTATCTGTCCCCTCTTTCCCCTTCCATCATTCATTCATTAATTCAGAAATGGAGTGAGGGTGGGAGTCCTGGCCTCCCTCCCCAGTATTTTTGAAATAATTGCCTCACCTCTTTAATGCATCCAAAGCTTGGCACTTAGGAGGTGCTCAGGGAATATGGAATGAATGAATGAATGAATGAATGAATGAATGAATGAATGAATGCGTCTTCTGCACTAACACCAGGGTCTTCCTTTTTTTTTTTTTTTAAGGTTTTATTTATTTGACAGAGAGAGACACAGCGAGAGAGGGAACACAAGCAGGGGGAGTGGGAGAGGGAGAAGCATGCTTCCCGCCGAGCAGGGAGCCCGATGCGGGGCTCGATCCCAGGACCCCGGGATCATGACCTGAGCCGAAGGCAGACGCTTAACCGACTGAGCCACCCAGGCGCCCCCACCAGGGTCTTTCTAAAAGGTAGTTTGAATCATGTCACTCAGAAACTTTCAGAGGTTGCCTATTTTCTCCAGCATGCAGTCTTAGCCTGACATTCAAGACTTTTCATAACCTGGATCATATCAGCCTAAAAGGGAAAGCTCCATTTAAACCAAATTACTCATGCTTTCCTTAAGGGTGTCGCAAATTTTCTTGTCCCTCCTATTGACAGACTCACCAAATCTCACCATGGACTTCCTGTATTTCTCAGTCTCCCTTCCAGGCCAGGTGAGGGCTGAATAACAGGCTCTGGCCAGTGGACTCCTCCCATGATGCAGAGTCCCCCAATTCCTCCAAACCTCAGATATTGCATAAGTGATGGATGGGCTAGTCCCTGAGAGGTTCCAAGTCTATATATTACCAGAGTAGGATCTATCTTCTCCTGACTGCTCTACACATCTTTGGTCCCACTAGTCTGTCTAGAGAGAGATTTTTCCTCTTTCTCTCCAGTTGAAATTCCTATCATCCTTCAAGTTTCAACTAGAGTATGACCTCCTCTGCCAGTCAGTCACTCCCACCTCTCTCTACTCTCAGAGCACTATCATTACCTCTATTTCAGCCCAGAGCAGAGCCCAGCTGACAGGAAATATAAGGGCTTGTCTATCACACAACACTGTGAGGTCAGAGAGCATGGACTGTGTTTGTTTAATTCTGTCTCCCACTGGACTTAGCCTTTTGATTTGTACTTAGGAGTAGTGTTCACCTAATATTAATTAGGTCAGAGGAAAAAGTATTTACCCCTTGACCTCAGTGTATGCAACTGGGGATGGAAAATAAAAGCTTGACCCATCTGAACCTGGAAGGCACAGTGGTTGGCAGGGATCAGAGAAGGTTTCGGGTGAACAGGGCTCTAGGCAGGATGTGTGTGTGTGGTGGGGGGGGTGCTGTTCACAGAGCCTGGTCATTGCCATCCCTCCCCCACTCCCCTAGGAAATCCGAAGCCTGTGCACAATCTGGGGGAGCTAGCAAAAAGCCTCTGCAGCTTCTAACTGTTTACCTCCTGGGTACCATGGCAACAGGAGATTGGTCACCATGGCAACCCCATTATTAACCAGAGGCAGCAACCGCTGGCAGATAGTGAATGAGGACAGAAAAGGCATAAAAACGGGTACATCAAAGACACGGGGCACACTCAGTCCTGGCCAAAGTCCCAGCTAAAGTGACTGAGATCTTGCTCTGACCAGTTACCCACAGAGCAGCCATTCACCCTCTCCTGGCATCCCATGCCCAGTAAGGACCCCATTTATGGATGAACGGAGGCTGAAGAGGAAAAGTGCGGGTGCTTGGGCATTCATGTGAAGTAAGGGCAGTTTGTGTCTTCCCCGCTCCCACCCTACTAAAGGAGCTCCCACCAGCTGGGTTCCCTGGCCTGGAAGAATTTCCAAGAATCCAAGACTTTGGCATACAAAACCTGGCACAGAGAGCGACAGCAATAGTAGTCACCTCCCCTCTCATTGCCCAACTTTTCACCACCCCTTCCAGTGATTTCTCACCGAGGGAGTATGTGACTTTGTTCCCAGACAATTATATTATTACCGGGTTTTATGAAGGAAAGTGTGTGTGTGTGTGTGTGTGTGTGTGTCTTGCACAGGGGGTGGGGGACAGTGCTGGTGGACGGTCCACAGAAAAAGTTAGGGGTCTGGACAGCACAAACCCAGGTGGGAGGACCACTGCCCAGTAGTTTGGGGTACAAAGGACCATGCCAACCCCAGTTTGCCCCTCTGGAAGATTTGGAGAGGATCGTCCACTGTAGGGCTCTCTGGTTTCCAGACGAGAGGTTGCAGAGCTTGCACGGGGAGTCCTGAGCAAGCAAATTGCTTGTTGGAGGCACCAGACCCATGGACAGAGGCCCAGGGGCAGGCTTCAGGTCCTTTCTGCTCTTCCCTCCCTTCATCCTTGGCCACATTTCTTATCTAGCTGGAGATACCCGCTTTAGAATGACAAAGTTTAAAATCTCAGCAACAGCACAAAGCAGAGCAGTTGTGAATTGAGGAATCACAAGGGGAGAAAAAAGAAACAACCCTCCATCTCCCCAGTCACCCAGCCCCAGCTCTTGTTGGGGACTGCTGGGACAGAATCCCGGGACAGCCAGAGCATGAGGAAAGGCTCCACCAGCCCCCTTGGGAATAGTGAGTGGAGGTGGGAGCTGAGCTTGGGAGAAAAGCCTGAGGACGAGGACAGAAAGCCTGTATGATTATCGGGTTAGGGGATTGCAAGGGATCAGAGGGCCTGTTGCCCTTTTCCTCAATGCCTAAGTACTAAGACCTGAGGCCCGGAATGGCCAAGATCACGGATTATTCTTTTTATCATTTAAAAAAGAAGAAGAAGAAAGAAAAGAAATTGTGATTGCTCACTTCCCTAAATAATTTGAACTCTTTACCTCCTCCTCAGCCCACCTGTCTCTGGATCCCCAACGCTGAGTAGGGGCTAGCGTGGGCAGTCCCTTAACCTGGTCCGCTGATCGCCCTAGCTCCTGCTGCTTCCAAACCGCGGACACAACTTCCCCACACGCGCGCGGCGTGGACTCCGGGAGACTCTGCTCGTCCCTGACCTGAAGCCACAGAAATGAGGCGGCCAAAGAGCCTCTTGCAGGACGGGCGGCCATGGAGCCGTGGAGCCCAGCCTCTGGGTTACGGGGTGTCTTAGGGAGGTGTTGCCAGGGTGGTGTCATGCCCAGACCCCCTACCTGTCCCCAGTGGGAGCCAGTCCAGTTCTTTCTGCCTTCTGTCCTGACAGCTCAGCCCGGCTCGGCCCAGGGCGGTTGCCGGACGGGAGTATAAGGGGTGCGATGAACTTGGGCACAGGGGCCGGCTTTGTCCTGTGATCGCAGCTGGAGGGGTGTGTGTGTGCCTGGGATGGGAACAGATGCCAGAGCGGGCCCTTGCTTCTCCCCTTTCTCTCGCCAAGACGTGGCCCGTTTCAGCCCCGGGGACTGCGGACAGCGCCACGCCCGCATTAGTGCTTCGCCGGCCCACCGCTCTGCGCGGACTTCTTTAATTCACCTCTTGTCTGGATGGAATCAGCGACCCAGTACATCTCCCAGCGCCCCAAGAACTTCCAGCTCAAGAGCCCTTATAATCCTTACCCGCCAAAGTTTGAGTTCTCAGCGACGCGCCTCTGTCTGGCAAAGCGTCTCCTCCTCGCTCCCTCCGGGTTCTGGGCAACAGCTCTGGTCTCACTCCCTCCCCAACTCTCCTGCCCCAGGACCGTCCTCTGCGGACGGCGGAAGGAGTCTGTTGCCTCCCTCTCTGTCTCTCTCTGGAAAATTCAGGCGAGGCTCTGGAGTCTCAAAGGCGGTCGCGGAAGAGGCAGAAGCCGCCCATTCGTATCAGCAACCTTTCTGAGGGAAAAGGGGGCGAGCCAGGAGCAACAAAACAGGAAAGTCTGCCTGTCAACTCTGGACACTCTCCTAACAGGGAGCCGCCACATTGGACTCTTTCCTGGGATGTTTTACCAGTAACGTAATCCACACTGGATGAGGACACTACGGAGATCTGGGAGTCTGAAGTTTAAAGGTGGGAATATATTACCCTTTTAACTCGTTTGCGATCTTAGGGAGGGTTTTAGAAATAAATCTCTCTTAGGGATATTGTGTATTCTCCTTGCAGAGATTTGTTTCCTTCTGCCACAGCAGACACCACCAGATTCCCTGATCTAAACATTAAAACCCACCAATCCAGCCAAAGGAACATAAACCCTTTTTGGAGAAAATAACTTAACAAAGCCTCCACATTTTTCCAGACTCACTTTCCCCACAGAAACCATATATCTAAGGACACACCGCTCCATGGAGGATGAAAACATAAACTCACCTCCCCCTCACTCTTTGGATCTGGATTGCAGGAGCAGGTCCCAAGGAGGAATCCAGCTGTCTTGTCTGGGACGAGGTCTGAAAGCCTTTTGGCTAACACCCTTATGGGAAGAAAATGCAGGAGCAGATCCCACAGCAGTCTGAAAATGAGAGGACTTGGAGCTCATGGTATTTCCTGAACATAGCTATTAAATTGTCTGTGCATGGAGCAGATTGTCTTTAGAAGGCTTAAATTCTTGAGATTATGCAACACTTGGAGAGATCAAGTGTATATTATTCACTGGAGAAATAAAGAATTAGAATCACACACACACACATACACACACACACACCTTAAAGAAGGAAAGCAAAACCCAGAAAAATTCTCCCCAAGGAAAAGTCAGGCTTAATTGTTCAGATTCAAGGGATACTGGTAGTGGGAATTATTCAGATTCAAGGGATTCTGATAGTGGGAAAGCAAATAAGTGGAAGTGGTGAATCAACCAAACAAAGTTGAAGCCAGAGAAGTTGGAGGAGAGGAGAGTTCTTGTTTTATTATTTGGGTTTCTGGGAGAAACCTGAAGTGAATTTAACACAAGAGAAAATATAATTCATGAGACTATGTCTCATCAAGACCTTTAGTATCCTTAATCCAGAGACTTTCCAGCATGCATACACCAGTTACCTTGTGCAATATTTTTTTTACAGCCCTCATTGTCAGGAAACACTTTATTTTCTCTAATCCCAGTAATTTACACTACAAGTTAAAGCTGTTTCTTGTAGGAAAGGAAGGGAAGATTGGAAGCAGATGGTTATCATTTGTTGTCCGGAAACATTTCAGAACTTCAAAAGAACCTTAAATACTGATTTGGAGAAAGAAGTAGTTACCCTAAGACAATTTTAACACATAATCCTGAAAGTGAAAAATCCCTTTGAACTTTGTTTTTGAAATGCAGACCATTTAAAATCTGAGGGGGGTAGGGAAACAAGACCTTACAAAATTAACTTATAAAATGAAATGGAGAAGTGCACTGAATCTGACAAAATGAGGTAGTGCATCCATGGCAGGATTGGGCACATAATTGGCCCTTAGGAAATGATGTGTGTGACAGTAGTTATTACTGAATAATTTTCCATACCTGAAAGGTACAGATAAACTGAGACTGAAAATAAGCAGAAAGAACATGGAGGGGATATATTTGTGAATTTGCCTGCAAAAGTCATCCAGTAGCAAGATTCTGTGCTGTCAGGAAAGAGGGTACAGATTTGGCCAAAGATTCACTGAGTGGGGTGGCCTCTGGGGATCTGTCCTATTGCTCAGGTTTCATCCGAGGTACAACCAGGTGTATATGGCATAGCATGGAAGGGACAGCAATCCTTCGTCAAGATGCAGGATACAGTCAGCACCAAGCAATCCCAGAGGAGTTCATGGGTTTCTTAAGAGGTCCATGGCACCAAGAGACCCAGGAGAGGGATCCTCAGAAACCCAAAGCCTTGTGTCAGATTAGGGAGACCACGGAGGGGGGAACCATGGAGAAGGCACCATTTCCTAATTCCAACTGGGCAGGTGATATCGGGGTGGGGGAGGACCAGGTGAATCCTAGGTTGCTTCAGCCTCAGTCAGTATTCACTAAGGAAATGAATAGGGGTCTATGTGGGAAAGAGTGGTACCCAGGCATCAGGACCTGAGGAAGACTGGACCTGGGGAACCTGCTGAGACCAGTTCTACCTGCCTGTGGTTTCACTGCCAGAGAAATAAAAGGATAAATACTAGCTGTGCCCAGAGGGATTGAATTCAAGCATGAGCATGAGCAGGTGTGGCTTAGGGGACTCCCCAGTAAGATGTAGTTTTAATTGTTTTTAAATTTTAGAAAAAACGTGATTATGGTCTATGTAGTCTGGATTTGCTTTTCCCCCCCAATATTAAGATTCAGTGATATTACTTCTAGCTATGGTTCTTTCAGGTTTGCTGTGTAAATATACAATTCATTATTTATTCTGAGTGCATATTATACATTTTAGTTTTTCCTACTCAAATTGTGTAAAATCTGCCCAGTCCAAACAAATTTCAGATGTACTGGGGACCTGATATTTATAGACTAGGCTTGAAAGGCACATAAATTGTGCCCATAGGTGGGCAACAATGCAGCCACTTCTGCTGGGGGCCATATGGTGTCCAGTGTGTTAAAGAACACACAATCTGATAAGGAGATAAGCCAGACTAGCAGATGATAAGTAGAAATGCAAACAGATAAGCCTAGTTATCAGTAAGGGGGAGAACGTGGGCTTGCTCTGGCAGATGGTTTAGATCCTTGGCAAATGATAAGGCAATTTGTAGGAATGGATTTTGGGAAATAAAATATTTATTCAGAGGTAGGTGAGGTTCGCATGAGAAGCAATGATGCATCAATTTCCCCAGCAGGAATTCTCTCAGTCAGTGCAAAGTCATCAGAGGGAAAAGGCCCCAAGGTGGGAGAAGCAGTTGTTTTCAGTTTTTAAGTTGTTTTAAGTTTTAATCTCTATCTGACCGTCAATGACTGGAATTCCACCATCAGAACTTCATCTTTTATTTTCAAACTTTGATCCCTTTTACTTTGTTGTTGTGGTTGTTACTGTTTTTAAGTAATCTCTATGCCCAATGTGAAGCTTGAACTCACTACCCCAAGATCAAGAGTCCCATGCTCCACCCATCTAGCCAGCCAGGTGAAACTCTGATACCTTTTAAAATGCAAATTACTCCAGGAGCATAAGACTGAGAGAAGCATTTGATGACCCTGGAGACCAGTAAGGGTATGATGGTACGATAGCATGGATGCCACAGCAGGGGTATGTAGACTTGACAGGGGCAAAGGTCCAGGTGATAGATGTTGAACACCCAGGGCAAACTTGGTCCCTATCACAACTAAGCCTGGTCCTGAACCAGGAGAATCACCTGAACTTTCCTCTAAGCCTAAAGCCTTCGTTTTCCACCTATAAAGGACAATCACCCTGGGTGCCTGGGTGGCTCAGTTGGTTAAGCGTCTGCCTTCGGCTCAGGTCATGATCCCAGGGTCCTGGGATCGAGCCCCGCATCGGGCTCCCTGCTCCGCGGGAAGCTTGCTTCTCCCTCTCCCACTCCCCCTGCTTGTGTTCTCTCTCTCGCTGTGTCTCTCTGTGTGTCAAATAAATAAAATCTTAAAAAAAAAAAAAAAAAAGGACAATCACTTTTTCTAATTGTTAAAGCTGGCAAATGTGTCCTGGATCAGTGAATTATAACATGAATGTCATCAAAGGTGCTCATTAGTAGATGGGACGTGCCCTGGGACTCAGTGCTGCTCAGGTCAACATTTTCATCAGGGCCTTGGGTAAACAGATGGAGTCTTCTGTATATTTTAATATGGATAGGATGTATAGCTAACATGCAGTCAGGAAATAGAGCAAATGAGGAATGTAAATCAGGATCCAAAAAAATCTTGAGAGCTTTTAATGATGGGCTGAATATACAGACCAAGAAAAATGTAACAGGAACAAATGTAAGATTCTGTACCAGGGTCCAAAAGGGTCCTTTTAAGGGTCCAAAATAATCAGCCACCCCAGTACAGAGAGAAGAGGCATTGCTTAGCAGACCTCATTCAGTATGATGTGAAGCCTCAGGATGACATGTCTCCACAAAACCTGGCAAAAAGCTCAAGACAAATAATGCTGACTTGATAGAAGTATATCATGTAGAAAAGAGGTGAGTCTTGCTCAGCTATTCTCTTTTCAGCATACCTGGATTATTTTCATTTTGGTTGCCACATTTTAAAGAAGTGTTGCCCAGCAAAATTATATTAATAATAGAACTTTAAAATCAAGTCAATAAATTAATTTTACATTTTATGTTATGTTCTAGTTTTTCTTCACGTACACATCATTCTCTTTCACAGTGATACGAATATGTAAATACAATTTGGTTATTCTATTTTTAATTAGGTGTCATATCTTGAGAAATAGCTTATCTTGCTGTGTTAGTTTTCAGTGATTTTTGGTCAATGTCCAAATTATTTATCACTGGTCATGATCATGGCCAAATGAATTAAATAATTAATAGAATGATTTACACAGTTATTGACCTTCTCATGTACATTTAAATTATTTCCCATTTTCCAATCCTTTAGCTGATTGCCAGGAAATACCTTTTCCTATTTTTTGTAACTATTTTCTTAGGTTATATTCCCAGAATATATTCCAGAGATATAAGCATCTAAATTCAAGAAAAGTTTTAGCAATTTCTATTGCTATCAATCATTTACCAGTTCCACCAGTTTTTTCTCAGCAACATTCTATTTTATTTTTCAAATTTCATGCAAAAATTGTACCCCATTATAGTTTTAATTTGCATCTCAATAAGAGGTAGTAAAGTTGAACATTTTCTTATGTCTGTATGCTACTTGTGTCTCCTCTTTATGAATCATCTATTCATGTCCTTGGCCTATTTACATTAAAGTTGATATTTTTCCTTTCAATTTTCATGAGCTTTTTGTGCAATACTGATGGAGACTTTCCCCTGGTTTATTTGATGAAAATACTTTCCCCAGTCTGCTTGACTTTTATTTGAGTTATGATAATATGACAATATTTATTCTAGAGATGTCTAAATGCAAACATTTCCCATTTCAATTCATTGAAAGCCTAGAATGCATAATCTCCCTACATATATGATGTTTACTCTTTTTTGATGGTTCCATTCTTAACTCTTTAATACAATTGGTCTAGACAATTTTACCTAAAATCTCTAACTTTGAGCAATTAATTTAATG